CATTATACATTTTCCAAGGGTTTGGGTCAAAATCCCGACAAGCGAAATCCCGACAGGTCATAATCCCGACAACCAAAAATCCGACAGGTAAAAATCCTGAAAATTAAAATTCTGTCATAAACCATAGCTAATCCTAGCCTAACCTTTATCTAAAGTTACCTAACCCTAAAATTAATTAAATTATAAGAGGCTTCTTCACTTTAAACATACCGGATTTCTATTTGAAAATTCTGAGATTTTTAATTATCAGATTTTGACTGTCGGGATTTTTTTGTCGGGATAATGACCTGTCGGGATTGTACTTGTCGGATTTTGTCTGGCACCATTTCCACGACAATCATTTCCTCGACATAAAATTGGCTCGATTTAGCTTTAGGGTTAGTTAATTTAGAGTTAGTGTTGGTTAGAATTATGTGTCGAAGAAATAATTGTCGAGGAAATGTCTTATCCAAGAAAAGACTTGTCGAAACGTGTAATATCAATTATATGTCATCGAAAACATGTGCTGTAGATGTACGATGTCGGGGAAGTGAGTTGGTGGGTAAATAATTTTCGGAAATCGTGCCGTACCCCTGCTCATCCCTAAAGTTAACAAATAAATTTGTAGATCAGTTTTAACATGCCAAAGAATTTTTTAAAAAACATCTCAAAATTTTGCTTATGAAATCATCTTTGAAGCTCTAACAAATAAATTTATCGCACAATTTTGCATCTAATACCTTCAATTCTAATCACGCTATGATTTTAAGGGTGGATGAAAAAATTACATGGGCGATAAATAAATTATTGCCTAATAATATTATTTTTGTTAATATAATTTATATTTTAATATTATAACCATATAGAGATGATTCTGGAAATTTAACAATGGGTAGTACTTCCGACTACTATGATTCTATGTATGTAGGTTTTCCGATCGCGACAGTGTCCACTTTTGATTCTGGCTATTTAGTGGTTTTTAACAATACATTAAGCAATTCAATACTTCCACGTAACTGGCTCTTCGCAACATTTATACCCTACAACCCCCAAAGAATTATGTATATATAAATACTTTTATCTATCAAATACCACAACCTAATATGACAATTAACTCAGTTGATTGTGATAACGCACATGATGGGCATATTATTTGTATAGTCTCCGTCAACTACAACAATAATGTACGAATTTATCTTCATCCATTAGGGGCGGTACAAAGTATGGATGTAATATACAGCCCTAATGTATCTGGACTATTCCAGCAAAGTTGGAGAACAAAAATATTACCGTTCGACAGGGGTACCGAAAATTTAATTGCAATTAAATTTTTATACAATTACGATCAAGTAAAATTGTTACAACAAACAATT